GGGCCAGTTTAATACCTGCCGCAGGTCACCCCAGCAACGCGACACCCCCTTGTAAACAGCTCCCCGTTCTTCTATTGGTCGGGCGGTTGTTATGGTAACTGGGCTTTTAATCGCGAGCGTGCAGGTTTGTGCTTTACGCACGTCTCGTCTGACTGGAGAAAGCAAAAAAGAAAACGCGAAAGAAACGATATTTTAGAAACAAGAGACGAGAAAAACACAGTATGTTGCTAATGATGAAATTATATAGCTCCTTGAATAAAATAATCAAACGAAAGCAATGCTAAATGCACAAAGAGAATGATTTTGGTATTTTTGTAATAATTATTTATCTTTTTTTTAATGTCTTTTTTGATCAAAACATTTTTTTTTCTTTGAAAAATGCATATTAATACAAATTGAATGCACATTTGTTACAAGCGTTATTTCTACTTGGTCTGACGTATCCTGATTTTGTCAGGCTGATTTATTTATTTATGTATTTTCACTTGAATAAAACGGTAATTTGATGTCGTTGTCTAAAATAAGGATCATTAAACATTAAAATGCACATTCCATGCACCTGATTGAACTCAACAAGCAGACTGCTTTTGGTTTATTGCTTTTGTAATGATTTTTACATGATTTCTGATAACCATATTTTTGTTTACAATGAAACATATATATTAACACACTTTAAATGAACAGTTGTTACTTTAAAGAGTTATTTCTACTTCCTTTTCTACTTGATCTGGCCCTTTAAATGAGTTTTACATGACATTTCACATGAATAGAGCTCTCAAGAGGACAGTCTGTCTTGTATCTTTTTATCCTCTGTCTATTTTACCAACAAAAAACGCAGTCCTTCAGAAACAGCCTCTTGGCTATCAGAACAAATGTGCTCAAGCTCTTAACACTTACCGCCTTAAATCTGTCCTGAGAGCAAGTTGTGTGGGAAGTTTATCCCCTTCACTGTCAGTTTCATTCATTTAAACACATCTATGACTAAAAAGGACTGTATAATGTGTCATTTGTGTGGAAACAGTTCTAATACGTGCTACATAGTGTTATTGAATGCAGTCTGACACCTGAACTCTTGTCGAGGAGGTCTCAGTCCCATTAACAGGCATTGTATTGAGAGTAAAGAGAGTGCTCCTGAAGTCCTTTCCTCGCTCTTCCATTAGTGCCAGTCATGTGTGAAATCACTCCAAACGCATCCTTATTGTTTGACCCCGACATATTTGTTTTCGGGTCTGGTCTGATTGTTCAAGACCATTTTAGACCGTCCTCTTCAAGTAAACAATGGATGGCTTTGATATCATTAACAAACTGAGCAATTTTATAAATTCACAGGTTTGAACCAAATTCACATGTTTGCATCAATCTATTTTCAGTCTTAAAAAAGGAAAGCAGTGTCACATTGCTATTCTTCATTGACATTGTTGTCATGATCAATGCCAAATGCTAATATGCCAACCCATACTCTTTTTAAATGAAAAATGTAAATAGTTTAGCTTATAATAAGTTGTTGACTACTAGAGGGCGCCATCATACAGCTGCTCACAACACAGTATTTGCAATCGGGTTCACGGTTCATTTTTATCAATTTATTATGTTTGTGGTTAATGTTTATTTCTTTTTTTTCCCATCATATCAACATTTTTCTGTTTTTGTTTAGCTATAGATGCTCTCAATAAACACTAAACTACAATAATAGCCTATTGTTTAAAATACATTTTAACCAATGCACTGTTTAAAATAAACTTGCGGTTACTAGAGCATCTAAAAAATCACTGACACACCATCTTGGTCTAAGATGTCGCTTGATTTCATACTTGCATGGCCCTATCCGTGCATTTTTAATTGTGACTGAAGTGTTGTGATACTTTTGGGGCCACGTTTGTGGCATCTGCTCTAAATAAAGTCTGAACAAGTAGTTTCACTTTGATCAATCATTCACAGAAACAATAGTAAAACAAATTAGTCAGGAGCAAGTGGGAAAGTCCGGCTTAAGGCCCCCAAAAAAATGTCAAGACCAAACCTTGGAGATAATAAGATGTACAAACATGGTCCCCGAGCACAACAGAAGCAGACAGTGATGGAACTGATTGTCAAAAATGATACCAATGCAATACAAAAATTATGAGAGCATCAAAGGAATAGCCTACATCTATCAAACTTCACAAAGGCCCCCAAAAAACCCTACAAGTGTCATTGACTACTACTGTCTTTAATTAACATAAAATGCAAAGGAAGTATAATGTCATTACTAGTGAAACAAAAGCAGATTTTTACATTGGATAGACTATGACAAAAATCAGTTGTATGATTTATATGAATGGTCATTAATGTCTCTGGAATCACAGAAAACAAAGACATATAATATAAATATATAAGCTGCAACTGTATAATGAAGCAAACTTTTGTTTCATACTGACAAAAAAAAGACTATCGCAGCATTGTAATGGAATGATATTTACATAGATATACTCTGGTTTGTGTCCAAAACACCATGGTATAACACATTGCTGTGTGTGACATGTATAATGTGAAGAGTGAAGAGTGTATGTGACTCTAACCAGCTACCATATATTGTGAAAAGATTCAGGGAATCCAGAGAAATCTCAGTCTGTGTAGGGCAAGGCAGGGAGCCTCAGATGAATGTGTGTGAGCCGTGTTAAAGGAACACTCCACTATTTTTGAAAATAGGCTCATATGATATTACGCAGCGCCTGAAAATAGTGCCCAGCACGTTCCCTGTGCAAACAGGTGGTCACGTTGGTTATGTTGACAGAAGTTAGCCTATTTTCAGGCGCTGTGTAATATCTTTGCGCCTGCTGCACTCATAGTACGGCAGCAAAGTTCCTTGATTATTACGCCGGAATGAGAGTATAGTTCCTAGCCATATCGGCCTAGAAAATCACAACTTTTCATTTTCCGTCGGTCTTAGTACACGATGTAACTACAGAAGAGTCAAGTTTTAAATAGGAAAAATATAGAAACTCTTTGGTCATTTTTGAGCGAGATGCTAACGGTCTAATCAGATTCAATGATCTATGCTAAGCTAAGCTAAAAGTGCTACCGCCAGACCCGGAGATCGGCTGAATGGATTCGAAAACGGTAAAACTCAACTGTTTAACTCTAGGGGAGTTGGAAAATGAGTGTAATTAGCCTGTTAAAATTAGTGTTCCTTTAAATATACCCCCATGGGCTCAGGAGTACTTCGGAAAACCGCTGTCGCTTAACACAGTCTGCCGCTGCATCAATAAATGCAACTTGAATCTCTGTTACTCTAGGAGAAAACTATACATCAATTCTATGCAGTGATGCCGAGGGGTTCTGAAGTCTTGCATCAAGCAAGATTGTATCAAATAAAAATTTTGCTTTCAAAACTTTAACAGTTAGTATCCTCAATTCCCAAACAATTAAACACTGTAGTGGTACAGTGGTAAACATGCCTCTGTCACAGCTTTTTCGGAATGTGATGTAGCCATCAAAATCAAAATTTGTTTATATTTACAAAATAAAATGAAGTCGGCCAGTGAAAACATTGGAAATGTTTTCTTTGTTCTTTAGTCAATTAAATAAAGGTTAAAGAGAATGAACAAAGAGAGTGTTCAGGGGACCCCGAAACCCCAGCGGTGACCCTGGTGCAAACAAACCATGTACTAACTTTTTAAAACCCTTTTTCTTTAACTTGAACTGTTTGGATGTGGCACAGCCCTTCCTAGAAAATTTCCCACCAGCCGCCACTTTCACATAATTTCTCAGAGAAGTTTGCAGTTGAAGGTGTGGTTTCTATTGCCTGGCCATACCCAGCATGCAGCCTCTCACTGCTAATACTAATGTCACTGTATCCCTTCTCACAACCAGATCACTGAGTTACAACTCAATACACACAGAACGCAGAAGAAACGCCCAGCTCCATTACATTATAGATAGCCTTCTCCATAACAGGCTTTCTCTGACACCCGGTCTGAATTATTCAGACTCTCAGCTGGGTGGGTTGAAACTCCTGAATTCATTTCAAAGCTCTTGCTAACAAAAGCCCAATTCACACCTGACTGAAGCCTTCATGCGCTTGGGACAATAAGGAAAATGAGTCAGTCAGTCAAATGGTTACACGTGTCTGTCTATTATTTATTTATTTCTCTATTTATTTATTTATTTAGTTATTTATCTGTTTAAAAGTAATTTAGCAATTAACAATTATTATTATTATTATTATTATTATTATTATTACAATGCTGGTGGTTTTAATATGCTTTGCCTTTACTCACAGAAGTCTAACGGAAACATTAGAGCGTTTTCATCTGGATATAGATTACAATTGCTCTTTTTGTAATTGTGCATTTATTTTTTTGAATGTCCCTCTTCATCGTTATTTTGGCCCATTGATTTTTTCTTTCTCTTTTAAGTTAGTTATTAATAATAATAATTAATAATTAATAATAATAATCATTATTATACTCATACCTTTTGTTCTTTTAATATTTTGAATTGTTTTTAGCTTTATTTTTTGTTTTCATTTAAATGTTTAGTTTTGAAATGTTGTTATATGCATTTGTCATTTTTATTAGTAGTTATAGAGTTTTAGCTTTTAGTTTTAATTACTTTTTCGTATTTGTAAGTCGCTTTGGATAAAAGAATCTGCTAAATGACTAAAAGTAAAGTAAGTTATATATTTTTTATTTTATTTAAATTGTTTCAATTTCTACTTACAAAATGTGTAAATGTGAGAAATATGTCAAGAACCTGCTGTTGAATTCTGTCATTTTGAAAGTTCAATAACAAGTGTGCGCATCCAGTAAAAGCATTAAAAATAGATATTTTTTTCATCTGACCAATGAAAACGCGACGCTTTCCTGCTATTCTGACCAATCAGAGTGTTCATGCCGATCGCTAGCGTCCAACCACGCGAGACACGTCGATCGACCAATGGGACGCCGTGTGTACTCGCTGTTGTGGCTCCGTGGCCAATCAGAGGGCGCGTTTGGGTTTGTTGTTAGTGGTGATTTGTTGTTACTGGAAGGCGAGCGAGGAGAGAGCGTGAAGGAAGAGCCTGGCGGGGGCGCTCGCTTTCAACGGACACGCAAACATCGTACGGAGATTTTCCGTTCCCGGGAGTCGCGGAGGAGCGAACAGCGGCGATGTCGGTGAATATGGACGAGCTGAGACATCAAGTGATGATTAACCAGTTTGTTTTGACCGCGGGCTGCGCGGCGGACCAGGCGAAGCAGCTTCTGCAGGCGGCGCACTGGCAGTTCGAGGTAACCGGTGATTAATAATCGATCACACCGTTATTCACCGCCACCTTTTAGTCTGGCGTCTTAGGCTCATTTGAGGTGGGCTGTGTGTCAAATCCTGGCGACCCGCTCAATGGGGCTTGAGTTCAAAGCGTTTTTTCGTCGTGTCGGATGCGTCCATTGCGTCATATAAAGTCACGTCGCGTTTGTTTACATGTAAACAGCTTTTCAACGTTGGCCGTCTCGGGTTCAGATTGGCAATGTTTTCATTCTATTGCCTGCTGTTAGCCAGTCTGACTCTTTAAGGAAACAATTAGGCAGAGCAGCTTTGTGTTTGAACCCACCAGCAGCTCACTGAGATGATCTGACTGTGTAATACAGACCAAGACACGTTTCAGTGGAAACCAACACGATGTGCTTCATTCATAGTCATGTAAATAAAGTCAAAGCTGCTCTGGGAGAAAACAATCTGTTTTGGAGACATTTTGTCTTTGCACATTGAAAATGGATGGACATATTGATGGATAAAGAGGTGCATGAATGTACAGTTTGCTGGCTGGATAGATGGGGAAAAAAAAGATAGATCCATAATGTAGATAGTTACATATATTTATATTCATGCATTTGGCAGATGCTTTTATCTACAGTGACACCTTGTATACATTTTATCAGTTCATCATATGTACCTTGGGAATCAAACCCATAACATTGGTGTTGCCCACGGCATGCTCTACTGATTGTACACATAAACAGATGGATAGACATGATATGACTAGACATAACTGCCATATTCATTTACTGAAAATACATGCACTAAAATGAGATGTTTATCGAAGGTAAGTACAGCAGTCAAAATATTGACATACAATCATGGCGGAAGTACATAAAGAAAACTACTGCATTTCATATCAGTTTGTATTTGAGGGTTTATTAATGTGTAAGCTCACATTTGACGTTTCCTGTGGTTGTTTTGAGTGTTTCCTGTAAGGAGGAAGTGTTTGCCACAAACGGACATGCCTCAGAGTCGAATTCATCCATCAGCACGGTTGCAACACACTCACACTCAGTTTTTTTATTTACCTTCCCTGAAAATGTAGCCAAATGAACCCAAGCACACTTTAATCATTCACATCGGCTCATGTGTGTGTGTTTTGTTCTTATTGTGGTATGTGTTAGTAGGTTCGTTGTGTTGATTGTTTGAAACGGTCCAGTTCCCTGTTGAAAAAACCAGCATATGCTGGTTAGGTATATTTTGATGCTGGTTTATGCTGGTCATGTGCTGGCAAAGGAACAGCATAAACCAGCAAAAGGACCAGCATAAACCAGCAAAGGACCAGCTTAAACCAGCGTCAAAACATACCTAACCAGCATATGCTGTTTTTTTTCAACAGGGTTGAGTACAGTGCACACACACTGGTTTGACTAGTTCATGTGTGTATTGTTTATGAAGTACACATGCGTGTAGTAAGCCAAAGAGTGAGTGGATTCCCTGTAGCTCAACCCTAGTTAGTAGGGTAAAGTTTACTCTACTTACAACAGGCTACTGACTGGAATTTTGCCTATTTTTAAAGAGAATATTATGTGAAACCGCTTTTATTGATAACGGTAAACATTTCAAACCGTAGTATGCTATGTTGTTGTCACATGACCTTATTGCATTCATATTTAATTTAGAAAGTGGCATCCAGTTATCTTGCAAATCTAAAGTTGATTTAAAAACGCTGTTTTGTTTGGCGGGCGAATCAAATAATGAGTCAAGAAAAAAAAAAAGATGGTTGAAGTTACGTTCATTCATGTCACTGGGCCTGTTAAGTTGAGCGCACTGCATTGTGGGACTTCCACACAGTGTGTTTTGTTGTATACTGTGGAATAGGGCTGCACGATAAATCGAAATGGAATCGAGATCGCGAGAAGCTGCGATTGTCATGCGTATCTTTCAGTGAAGCACGGTTCTGTGATCAGCAGTAAATCTCCATCCAAAGGCCAGAGGGCGCTCTCGCGCTGAAACTCCAAATACGCCTCGCAGAAGAAACCCAGAAAATGCCTATCGCTGCAGCTGAATAAACAGAAGATTCAACTGCTTTCATTGATTCAACGTGACTAATAAACACACGACTACGGCAATATACGGTTTATCTGAGTTCTTATTATTATAATTTTCATTAAAATAAAGTATATTTATAATGCAATGCCTTTATCACTGCTTAAAACATCATCTCACAGAAGGATTTATTTCAAACACTCGACTGACGTTATGAAGTGAGTTTGGAGTAAAAATATGTTATTAAATGTGGTATTTTCACATGCTTTCAGATGGAGCAGCATTTACTACACAGAGCCGTAGTTCACTGAGAAGCTATGCAAACAGCTGTCATTATCGCGTACGATTTCTTCGATTTCAGAATCGCACAATAAAATCGTCTGCGATTTATTTTTTTGCGTAACTTGTCAGTGAACTACGGCTATGTGTAGTAAATGCTGCTCCATCTGAAAGCACGTGATGATGATTTACTACTGATCACAGAACCGGCTTTACTAACAAAATGCGCATGACAATTGCATTCGATTAATCGTGCAGCCCTATTGTGGAACAAAAAAAAAAAAACTAAATAGGTAATTTTTGGCTCAGAATTCAGACTTTTTTTTTTTTTTTTGGAGAATTGCGAGTTATAAACTCAGAATTATGAGTTAAACAGTCATAACCTTTTTTTTTAATCCCGTGGCAGAAACAAGCTTCCACAATTTACTGCTTGTTTAAGAAAGGTTTTGTTGAAATCGGTAGGTACTTCTTTTGAATGAGTTCTTATTTTGTGAAACTTAAACAGTATGTTCTATATAGTATGAATGTGTGTAGTATGCTGAAAATGGCATCATCGGTTTTTGGCCCAAAGGAAAAAAAATGCTGAAAATACAAACCGAAAGTATATGCCCCCTTGCCCCTCCCCCCGTGCTCAGCACTAAGATTTAATTGTGCCATTTTCAATAAACAGTTCCGAGTGTGATTTATTTGATTGGTTTGTAGTTTTTCCGTTCAGTCTCATTCAATTTCATTAAATTAAAAAGCCTAATATTAATACAATTAATTATACAAAAAGTGTTTTAAAGTATTTTAAAATAAGTAATTTTCGGGGGGTTTTTCCAAGTGCATCCTTCTTTTTCGGTTTCGGCCCATAATTTTCATTTCGGTGCATCCGTCGTTATGTCATTGTCAGTTGCGTCATTTCACTGCAATTCACAAATCCTTTCCTGTGGCCTCATGGGAATTTAAAGTGTCCAGTGAATGCACACATCAGAAAGTATTAAGTTGAGTTATTTTATTTTTATTTTTTTACTATTGCCTTCTAAATAGTAATGAATATTCAGATGGAGCCTAAATATTTTTCTCCTGTGCATAGTACACATGATATATACTGCACTAGTTTGTCAGGGCATACTGGTGTTGTCATAACTGTTGCCTCATATACGTCACTGTGGTTAGTGTTTGGTAACTTTTGCTGGTTTGTTTTTCGATTGTGAAAGAAAGGAAGTCAACCACACCTTCACTGGCAGATACGCTTGTGTTTACATTCCCAGCATTGAATTTCTCAATTCAGTAGTGTTTATCCTGAAGTATCCGCAGCGTCCTGATGGTTTTCTCTGATGTAACTCTTTGAGCGATCTGTTGTGGCTGCTGTAGTTTGAACAGGTGGTCTAACAGGGTCTCTCTATCTCTCTCTCTCTCTGGTGTTGGTAGTAGTGTGATTGATTGTACCAAGTGCATGTCAAGGACAAGTGTCCCCTTTGGATCTCTTATACAATGTGTAATGTCGGTGACAGATGAAGGAGTCAGAGAGGTTTGCTCTTAACGTTCTGATCTCATTCTGTGATAACATCAGGACGGAGAGCAGCCAGGGACAGCTAAAGCAGGTAGACACGATTAACCGGTATAAAATTTGTCAACCGGTAGAGATTTTGGACTATTGTCTCTATCGCGGTTACACGCTCACATGACGTTCGTTACTGCAAAATAAAGTCGGAACACAGACTACAAGTAAGCAGGTTTGACAAATTTATTTAGCGCATGTGCAAACAAGTTCTCGCACAACCACGCTTGATTTGGTTTTCCACTCAAGTCAAGGCTGGGGTGTGTGATATATATCGTCTGCACTACTAGCGTAAATTTTGTTTTAACGATGTGCGATCTGACATTATCGAGTATCACAAAAACATACTCCGAGAGTGCACGCATACACTGCGTGATTTAGTCTGTTAAAATGCATTTAGAAAGCCCATAAGATTCAAGATAAGAGGCAAAGTGCCTCTGTCTTTTTATTTATATCATTTAATATAGTTAATCTATATCACGGCATATAATCTATATCAATGTCTATTGATAGAGAGAGATAGAGAGACCCTGTTAGACCACCTGTTCAAACTAACACATATTAAACCGTAAAATTACTGTAAAAAGCATGATTTACAGTTCAGATACAGGTTTTCACAAAAAACAAAATGTTTTATAAAACGATAAACTTAACATTTCAGCCTTTAAACAATTTTTAAGAAAAGGGATGAGGCAAAAGTATCAATTATTATATTAATTTAAACAATTATTCATTTGGTGAGCGGCTGGAAACTAGCCACCTCTCCTAGTTAGAGTTGGTATTAACATCATAAACTGAAAGCAATCTTTCCGTGACTTTCTTTTCAAATGTTTTAAAATTGATCAACTGAGTCTAATATGATCCAGCGGGCCATATTAAAAGACATTGCGGGCCCTGATTTAGGTCATAAGTGAAAACAAACAGCTGAGAAAAAAAACACATGTGTAAGACTATATTGAATCCGGGCAGCTCTTAAAGTGACAGCAGTCTAATATTCCTGCTGTCTGTCATTGATTTAGTCAAGAGCAGTGAGAGTTTTCTCTCTTTTGTTGTTTGATTAACATGACTTTTGTAACTTTAATATTTAATTTACACAATATGCAGTGTTTTTATACATTTGGTTACTTATTTATTTGTTCTACTGTAGTTTTTTGTCCTATT